TAAGTTACGTGACATTTGTAGCTGACAAGCTAACTAACGTTAGCGGTAGCTCGTCTGCCTGTATCCGACCGTAGTTAAGCCTTGTAAAGTAACTTTTTTTGCCTTCACTTTCAAACTTCAGAGGTTGAATCATATCTTACTGAGATTGTGACGATTTTACAGATCATTTATACTTCATATTATGTCCTTAAACGGACCAACAGGAGCTCAGGTTGTGAACCTGAAATATCACTTTAAGTCCGGTAACGTTACAAACGAGATTAATTACAAGGATAAACTGAATTTGAGTATTTTGCACCTTTTGTTTTGTGGTGTGAAATAAAACTAACTACATTTTGTTTTGTTTTAGGGAGCCAGGAGCAAACGGCTCAGTTCATCAAGCTGAGGGGGAAGAACGACAGCCTCTTCACCAGGGACAAACATTCAGCAACCGTAGCTTTGGATTAAGACATTAGTCCATTTGTCATATCTCCATCTGACCATCCTGTACTTAAGGTTACAGTTACATTAGCTCTACTCCTATATAAAGCCTTTACTAATAGGACAACCAGTAGAGAGGACAATACACTTCTGATGTGTTATTGTGATGTCACCTTTTTCTTTCTTTTATTTAAATTGAAATAAGACATCCATGTAAATGATTTCTATGTGAATATGTACGGTATATATTCTGCTGTGTAAAATTTGTCAATCTTCTAAGTTTGCATCCATGTGTTAACATTATTGATAAATGTTTCTCTTATCATTTTCTCAATGTGATTTGGACAATTTTGGCAGTCACCCTCCCAACTGCAAGTTAATAAACACGTTTGCTGATATTTGTTTTGCTGCTGTTGTTTTTGTTAACTGTCCTCTGCCTTAGGATTGCAAGTATCCAGGCTCTTTTCTCTACTAGAAAGATTGATAAATAAATAAATATATATGTATATATAATATATATATATGTATATATACATATATATTTATTTATTTAATTCACACATATATATATACATGCATGTATATATATGTATAATTAATATGATTATTAATTTAGAAAAACTACATTAAGAAAAATAACTGAATGAATTATTGAATATATGATTGAAAAACAGATTAAAACTAAAACCTTTACAGTTTATATATATATATATCTGGATATATATGGACCGCGAAGGCTGGGTCTCCCGAAGGATGCAGTTGCTGGATTGGGACATGGGCAGTGTTTACAGTGGAAGCAGATACCGAGAGCCAAGTCAAACCGACCAATAGAAACTCCCGGCACATTCAACAGCGTATGCCCCGCCCATGAAGGTATATTTGTGTCTTTATTACGCAAACAAAAAACTCAACTCAGCTTTTCGTTTTGAAACCAAAGCTTTTTTTTTTAATCAAAGATTGTTTTTTTTATTAACCAAAGATATTATGTTTTTTAACCAAAAATTCTAGTTTCATAAGCAAAACTAACAAATAAATTATTCTCAGTTTATATATTTTCACTTACAAACTTGATTTTTGATTGCAGTGCGATTTTAAAACTTTTTTTTTGGTTTGCGTAATAAAGACACAAATATACCTTCATAGACTACCTTCAGATGTTGAGGGCTGATGAACAGTAACATGAATTGAACCACTATAAAGCCCAGGCTACCGCGATGTATCTGGCACTCCCCCAAATCCACCTGGAGAACCATCCATTACAAATATGGGGATGATGCTTCGACAGAGGGTTAGGATTCAGAGGACAGATTTCTGATGACATCACCATGGATGATGCCACCGAGTGCATGAGTAATGGGACAGCAGCATACCTATTTTTTTTAAATCACCCCTAATGACCCCGACTTTCACTTCCACAACCAGAGGGATTTATAATTCTACACAGAAACGAAGGGCAAGGCTACATGTGTGTGTGTGTGTATGTGTGTGCATCCATGGGTGTGCATCTTGTAAGCAGATAGAAGCGGTGCGTGTCCACACTTCAGAGGGGACATGAGGCACAGTCACTGGGCTTGAATTTAACCAGAGTGAAGATTGTTTATGGACTGCCAAAAGTAATTAATCTCCCTTCTCTCTAAAAATTAATCGGATTAAACATTCTCGTGGCCCAGTGAATCCGTCTCTCTGTAATGGGCGGCCGGCTGAATCTCTGGCCGCTCCTCTGGCCCCTTTGTGCCCATAATGCCAGTCCTATAGGCCGGATTCACTGGCTCCACCACAACAATTGGCTGCACAAAGACTCTGGAGTGTAATCACATTCTCCTGCTTGTCTGAATGCTTGTCTTTCACGGTGGGGGAAGAGCATTGGCTGCTTGACCAGTATCATATTCTGACCTTTGATAGAGATGCTGAAGCACTGAGAGGGGTGTGTTGATTAGAGCTTCATCTGGCCGCGGGTGAAACACATGTTCACATGATGATTTGACCTTTCCAGCAGTATTCAGATGTGTATTCTGTATCCTCCTCTCCTCTCCTTGTGTAAGTGGGTTAACATCCTAAAGAGGCTGACAACGAAATATTCACTGGCTACAATAACTCTGACTGTACATGCTTGATTCCTCCAACGGTTTCATTTCCTTTCTTCTGACAGTTTGATTGTGACATTATAACTAAACAGTATATTCACCATGTTTAAGTCTGACCTAGTCATGTTCGACCCTAAAAGTTTAAGCCCCTGTAGCCGCCGTTACACCATGTCTAACATAGATTGTAAATAAAAAGTGGAGGTAGTCTCAGTGACGTCACCCATTGGTACAGACTACAGAGTTCGTCTGTCACCGTTTTGGTGTTGCCATCTTAGTTTTTGGCCTTGTCATCTTTTTTGACGGGAGGTCGGAGCTAAGTACAACCTAATACTGAATAAGTTATTTTAAGGCAACCAAAATGTTACAATTATTGTTCATGAACTGAAAACACACTGTGAAAGGGTTAAAGTTCATCGGTGATCAATCACACAGTAGCCCTGCCCTAAAGCATACTCTGCTTTATGGTCTGTTTGACTCTAAATGGACCATCATTTACTAAATGAACATCATGCTGTATTGAAGAAGACTTGAAACTAGAGATTGAGACCATAAACTCATGTTTACAATGTTTACTTCTCTCTTGATTTATTCCCTCAGTAGAGTCATTTTCTCATAGACTTCTATACAACCAGAGGAGTCGCCCCCTGATGGAGATTAGAGAGAATGCAGCTTTAAGACACTTCAGCATCGGCTTCATTTTTAGAACCGGAGGTTGCCCCCTGATCATCACAGGATGTGTGGCATGAGCAGCATGTTAGCAGAACATGTCAAAGGGGATGGATTCAGGCACACGGTTTGAATTCTAATTATTTTGCCTTTATTTCAAAATAAGAGCACCCAACCAGGATAATTTCATCCAGGATTAACAACTTCAATCCTCAAACTGCTTTCAGTACATTACATAATGAAATAAATGTTGTGCATTACACCATTGTGGAGCTTGGACAGCAAACAGCCATGAATTTGTTGAGCGGTAGCTGAGCCCCCTTCGTACTGAGTAAGTAGCAAGCAATTGGCAGTATCAGAGGTATTGATGAGGTGGGTGAGGAAAGACTGAGGTAGGTGAGAGGGGATAGGGTCTAGAGGGCAGGTCGTTGGGCGCTGAGAGGTCACCACAGGTGGCCGTCTGTCCGGTCCATTCTGCTGAACGCTGTCTCAGGGACACCTCGACAGAATATTTTCAAGTTTTGCACAAACACCAACCTGGTCTTACAGATGAACTGATTCGATTTTGAGGCTCATAGTTCAGTGTTTGTGACCTCACGTGCATCCCATTATTGTGATGTGTCGGGAACACCTCGAGCAGATTTCTTCAAATATGGAACAAACATCCACTCAAGGTTGAACTGATTAGAATTCGGTGGTCAAAGAGCACTGTGACATATGCTTTATATGAAAAGTTCACAGACATGTTGGACAGACACAGACTGCATGATGACTGATTGGCAGAAGAATTCAACTGCGAGGCAGTCAATTTAGTTTTTTACGTTTTTTCTGTGACTGTGTACACAGACAGCTGTCCCTGATAGAACATAATTCCGATAATATTGGAGATTGTATGGTAATATTTTTGGAGTGAACAGAATCATGGTGCAGCTGCAGAATGTAGTGAGTTTTTTAAATAGGCTGTATGAAGTCTGAATGTGTTTTAACAGCATTTCATTGACTGCTGAAATAAAGACACTGAATGCTGTTGAGCCAAGATCCATATTGATATCTGCAATAATGACTCTATTTGATAAAAAAAAAATTAAAATCTTCAAATATATTTGTCATCTTCAGTTGCTGGCCCCTATGTTTTATTGTTGTTGGATTAAATATGGACAAATATATTCAAAATGTAAGCTGTATCCCAAAACAGTCAGATTCCACCAATTTATCATCATTTCAATCATTATTGAAATCGTGTATCGTGTCCACTTCATAAGTTAAGTGTTCACTTATTCTTTTTGCGGTTTTATGGTCTCCACCAACTCCTGAAGAAAAGAAAAAAAAAAGAGAAATATTCCTCTTTAGGTGGTAAATGTTCCAATTTGTTAACCAGCTAGCCACATACTTTGTCCGCCTGCTCTTCAGTGCAAACTAACACTGAACTTTCAACCAGAAGGCTGGTTTTAGTGTTGGTACCCCAAAGTTCTGTTTACATATATTACTTACTTTGAGTACTTGTTGTAAGCCCAACCAAGATGTTTTTCCTAAACCTAACCTTATTGTTCCCGTGATAGTAACACTCATTTTTACTCATCCTCTACACACGTGCTGTGTAGATTTAAGCCTCAGAATGTTGGTGATGTTGAAGATTTTACATACATATTTTTTTTTGTATGCTGTCATTTGTAATATGTAGATTTGTGTGGTACGAGCCCTCGTAAACCCTTCATTGCCAGTCTTTCTCTTGTAATGCCACCTGTCAAGCAATTATGTCGAGAAAGACTTTGTGCAAAGTGGAAATGAAATGTGTTTTGTTGTTAAATCCAGTTATGTTTCCTTCCCTAGGAGCCTGCAGCTGACACGCCACCAACCATCAGGCAGAATGTCGTATGGATCCATTGATGGAGGCTCCTTTGGCAGTCGCAACCCATTTGGAGGTCCTACGAGCCAGGGCTACCAGCCAGTAGGTAGGGAGAAATATTGATTGTCTTCTCCTATATGTAGCACTTTACAACAATACAAGGTTATTCATTTACATTTGAGACACTGGCATAATAACCTTCAACAAAAAAGACACCAAGATGATTTTCCTTTACCACCTGATACAGTGCATTCTGTTGTAGAGTCACTGGTGAGGAAAACGTATGTCATGGTTGTTTGGAGGCTTTGATTATTTCTGCAACTGCTGTCCTTCTGTGACAGAATGATTGGAACATGTTACATGTCATGATACATAAATAAATACATTTGTTGTGAGTCTATGACAGAGAGAGCTATGGTCCAAAAATATACATTAAACAATTTATAAATATCGGGGGCATATAAAGTATATAGAAAGTAATTGACCTCTTAACTTCCTGTCAGTGATTACTGTTACTGTTGGTAACTGTTCCTGTATAGATTGTGCTAGTTTCACTATGTGAATTAGATTGAAACACAAACATCACACTGGGAAAGTCCAAAGAGCTCAGTGCAGATCTGAGAAGGTGCATAATGAAGACAAGTAAGACATATCTCAGAGCAACTTCAGGTCTTCAGATCTGAGAAGTGTAAACCATTGTTCGTCAGTATAGTGTAGTGGGAAGTGTGGTTTCTGTTCACTCGAAATGTACAGTTTCCTGTCGTCACATGCAGTCTCTTTTCAAAATATACTTTCAACATAGATTTACTTAGTTTTTAGATTAATTAAGGAAACAAAATTACTTGGCTACGTTTAGGAATAGATCGTGGTTTTGGTTAAAATAACTATGTTTGTAACATAACTGGTGTTACTTGAGTACAGATGTTACGAAAGAAGGCTGAGGTAAACAAATAAATAATGCTGACTTGGTTTCACACGGACTTTCTAGCACATTAGACTAATGAGGTGGATGGGTTTACCTTGGTGTGCGTTAAAAGCCTGGTCTCATACGGATGCTAAAGGGTGCTTCCGTACTTTGTTGTCAGGCACAGAGGGGTAAGTGTCGGTATTTGGTGAATAGGTTGGTGGTCCTAAGTTTTAAACTATGACCCTCTAAGTCCACCTATAGCGCCAGTTTTGTCAGGGACGGCTTGTCAATGTACGCTTGCATAGTCTTCCTTTGAAAATAAACGTCCTTCACAGAAAGAAGGAAGAAAACCACTTCGTGAGGTTTAGGAAAATAGTGTATTTGAGGTTCACTTGACTAACGAGTCACGTGACTGGCAAGTGACACACGAGTCACATGAGTAGCGAGTCTCGTCACTAACTACTCACATAAAAAATGTCAACGTTTACTTTTAGTTTCGCACGAGACATGAATAGTGGTCTCCTGGTAGAGAGTCTTGTATTTGTTTGACCCATCCACCACCCCTCCTTCCAGCCCTGCAAGGACTTTCTCGCTCTTTCTACTAGGATAGTTGCTCTGAGTGTGTAATATGGACGTGGGTTTGTTTACATTGGCGTGAGTTTAAAGCCCGGTGCGCCCCATGAAGACTAAAGGGTGCCTCGGTATGTCGTTATCAGATGCCGAGGTCCACAGACCAAGCGTTGGTATTTGACGTGTTGGGAGTTAGAACGGGTTGCACTACAAAACACCTATCACATTGGTCTTGACCCATTGTCATACACATATGAAACTGACTGACATGAGTAGGAATATGTTGACATTTCCTAAACCATGAAAACAAAACATTATTCATGCTTTTGTTGCCGGGAGCATATTTTAGGGAAACAAATGAGACACTGAGAGTAAATCTTTTGTTGATACTTTTCACTGTGTGGCAAGCAGATTTCACATTGATGAAGTCTGGTTAAGCTAGAGACTATAACTAGAAAATGCATTTCCTGCTGAAAATGCGTTGGAATGCTGAAAGCTGAAATTAATTGTAAAATAATTGCTGAAAATTAAGAAATGGGAGACTACCTCTCTGAAAAATGTTGAAGCTTGAAAGCATTTAAACTGCACTGCTGAAAACCCTTCTACTTGAAATGTCTAACTATGGTGTCTGTAGCTGAAAGTATGAGAAGAAGAAGGCTTTGAAAGTTGAAGAAGTTTAACAGGATTTGAAGATTTTCTCCATAGAGATCCCTTTAAAAAAAATTGCAAATAGCTTAATATTTCAAAAAGTTAAAAGATTACAAATATGAAAAGTCAAAGCACCCCTCCTGAAAGAGCTGAACATTTTGAAAGGTCAAAGTCCTGTAGTGATATTTGTAGTAGTGGAAGTTGTAGTTGTAGTAGAAGTATTGGTAGAAGTATTAGTAATTAGAAGAAGTAGTAGAAGTAGTAGTATCAGTAGTCGTAGTAATAGCTGTAGTATTGGTCGTAGTATTTAATATAACAGTAGTAGTAGTAGAAGTAGTTATATTAGTAATAGTAATGGCAGTAGAAGAAGTAGCAGTAGTAGTAGTACTAGTAGCAGTTGTACTAATAGCCGTAGTAGTAATACTACTTGTAGTAGCATGAATAGCAGTAGTAGTAGTAGCAGTTGTAGTTTAAGTAATAGTAGTAGTGGTAGTAATAGCAGTGGTGGTAGTAATAATATTGATGGTAGCAGTAATAGCAGTAGTAGTAGTAGTAGTAATAGTAGCAACAGCAAAAGTTATAGTAGAAGTAGTAGCAGTAGTAGTAGTAGTAGTAATACTATATTAGCAGCAGCAGTAGTAGTTGTCGCAGTATTAGTCAGAGCATTACGTTTTTCAACAAAAAAGCCTAATTTTGAGCTTAACGTTTAAATACAGTTAATCCATGAGGCTTTTATTTTGAAAGAGGGGCTGGGTGGGGGAGAAAGGAGAGGAGACAGAATCAGAATGTATGAAACACAGAGGTTATTAAATGACAGTCTTCATCAAAAGCATTCCAGTTAGATTTCACTCTGTGGGGCTTTTATTTTGAAAGGGTGGGACTGGGTGGGGGAGAAGAGACAATCATAATGTTTGACACACATAAACAGAGGTTATTAAATGTCAGGCTTCATCATAAGCATTTCAGTTCGAATTCATTCTGTGGGGCTTTTATTTTAAAATGGGGTGTGTGTGTGGGGGGGGATCCTCTAAAGATCTCTAAGAACCTGAATGACTGTATGAGAGAGAGACACAGAGAGAGAGAGAGAGAGAGAGACACACACACAGAGAGAGAGGAGTGCGTGTGTGTCTGTGAGTCTGTGTGTTTATCAACATCACTAATTAGCTTAATCAGAAACACCTGTGTCCTTGCAGCCTTTTCATGGAGATTAAACAGGGAAACACCTCTCAAACAAATCCTCAAAACTCCCATAACCATAGCTCCTATTGCTCCAATATTAATAAATGAGAGGAAGGATGAGTTGAAGAACAGATCCTGTAAAAATTGTGTCTGTAGTGTAAAATATGTGGCTGAACTGGCGATTTAGATATGGGGTACCGTGTTCTGTGGAAGATGTTTTTGAAGCAAAATTTAACATTGGTCTCTATGGAGCAGAAAATTGGTTTTCCTCTCAATTACAAACTTCTGTGCCAAATGTGTAAATCTGTGGGATTCCACAGTCATTTGTCTACAACAAGGACAAGATTAGCTACTTCTACATACAGAAATTATGCATGAAGAGTGAAGATTGTGGACACAGTGGCAAAAGACAAATCTTTTTTTCACAAGAATCTCAAGCTGCTCTTCACTCTAGCGGTAACATCACGCACTCTAAGCTGCGCAATACACACCCATTATAAAGTCAGAAAAGGGCTGAAAAATCATAAAAGTTAAATTGCTGCAGTTCAAAAAGTTTAAAATGTATCACAAAGCTGAATAATGTGGCAATAGATCAGGGTTTTCTCAACATTTGAAAGTTGAAATGGTGTCTGTAGCTGAAAATATGAGGAAGTTGAAGGATTTGAAAGTTGAAGAAGTTTAAGAGGATTTGAACATTTTCTCCATTGAATTCCCATTCAAAATTAAAAAGTTGCAAAAAGTTTAATAATTCATAAAGCATAAGAGATAGAAATATGAAAAGTCATAGCACAAATGTCATTAAAGAGCTGAACATTTTGATAGTTGAACGGTTTCTGTAGCTTAAAAAATAAAGAAGAAGAAGAGGTGGGACGGAAGAAATATAATAATAATAAAAAGAAGAATAAAGATTAAGATAACAATAGTTAACAGCATTCCAACAATAAAGATTCGAAGAACAATAGTTGGAATGCTTAACAGCATTCCAACAATTAAAGATGGAGGGAGAGTGTAGGTAAGAGAAATTAGAAAATTAGTTTCGGAATAAAAGAGGAAAAAAACAAACATCTGTATTGATCTTTTGCAGAAGCTTCAGGTCATCAAGGGGCGCGAGCAGCATTCAAGTATTGTTCCTATCAGTTGCATGTAAACACTGTGTCTTTAGGAAAGCTTGCATAATTTTCAGAAGTCACCCACTTACCCACGTAAAAGCAAGTAATCAGAGTCAGGTGTTCCAGTCATCACAACACATCTATTATTCATAAAGAAATGAACAAATCAAGCAATCAACACTGTGAGTACAAATATACACAATACACAGACTGCGTGGAAAGAAAAGTACAAATGAGTCTGAGCCAACCACTGTGACCGTTTTCTGTGTGTTCGTCGCCATGTTTCTGAACTCTCCGTTTCTTACATTGTATAAAATGACCCCCAGAATGTGTATACGTGTGTGTTTGCTCTTGTGCAGAGGTCACAGGTTTTCATGAGGGTTAAGCAATGTAGAAAGCATTGGATTTGATCCTCTCACTGCTTCCATTAGCCTAGTAATGGGGTATGAGCAAGACAGAGCCCCTGAGGCAAAACCTGTTCCCAGCCAAACAGGAGGTGTGTGTGTGTGTGTGTGTGTGTGTGTGTGTGTGTGTGTGTGTGTG